CAGCTTAGTTCGAATGGTTACTCCCACCCCAAATACATGGAATAGTGGTTTCCAAAGAAAAGAGTGATTTTATTACTGGAAAATGGACAGGGCAACGTTGGGCTCACTTGGTGGGTAGCATAGATGTATATTTACAAGAAATAAGACATATCATTCAAATGCAAGGGAAAAGTTTAGTCCCAACATAAAAGGTATCTGGATTCTAGAGAATTCTTACCTCCTCACTTTTTTGGGTTTCTCAGCAAAATGTTCCCTTCCTGCCTCCTCAATGAAGTTTAGACGGAGTCTCTATTCAGGCTGGAGTGCAGTGGTGCGATCTCAGCTCACTGCAACCTCCGCCTCTGGGTTCAAGCAATTCCCTGCCTCAGCCTCCAGAGTAGCTGGGATTACAGTTGCCCACCACCACGCCCGGATAATTTTTGTAGTTTTAGTAGAGATGGGGTTTCACCATCTTGGCCAGACTCGTCTTGAACTCCTGACCTTGTGATCCACCCGTCTCGGCCTCCCAAAGTGCTGGGATTACAGGCGTGCGCCACCGCACCAGCTGAGGTCAGGTAATTTTATCCTGGAATGACAATGTTTGGAAAAGCAGCTTTAGTTACAGGTATGTGAAGAAACATAAAATTTTACAGACCAAACAGACCACATAAGAAGAATGATGAACACATTTTAAATTCAGAATCTGCTGGTAGTTCTTTTGGAAAATTCTTGCTGGGAAGAACAGATGGATGAAACACACATTGTTAGTTCAAATAAACAACTCATGGCACTTGACATTGGTAGCATCCTTTTAAATACATACAATTATTTACTTTTATTAGATGTCTTCAATCTATAGAATCAATGATGCAAAATTGGCCTTTAACTGTACAATATACCTTATGTATTTATAAAGTTTCTCAACAGGAAATCTATAGAATCAATAGTGCAAAATGGGTTTTAACTCTACCATATACTTTATATATTTATAAAGGTTCTCAACAGGAGATGTTAAGTTGGAGGCAGAAATTTATCCAGAGATGTAAATTGGCAGTAGTGGCATCTTAGCCATACTTGAAAATGCTTTAGAAGTTACAAATCATTATGAGTTAATGCCAAATTTTCCTTTTTTTATCGTAGGTTTCGGAGGGCGATGCTTGCCATGTTCAAATGTCAGACTCACCAAACAATGCCTGTGACAAGTATTTTACCGATGGATGTATCTCAAAACCCACTGGCTTCAGGAAGAATCTGAAATAACAGAAAAGGACACACTGTCAAAACACTTTAGTTTTTTGACAATGCTTTTATTTTAAATATGAGCCCATTTAGATCAAGTGCAGACATGGATCATTGTCCTATGAGACTGTAAGCTCCTCAAGCGCAGCTCATGCTTCTTCTCTTTGTGCACTGGCTGCTGCAGTGCATGCTTCTCTGTGTCCTGATATGTCAACTTATTGCTCATCTCCCTTGATGAATTAGGCATCCGAGGTTAACGTCCCCTTTCTTTCTCCCTATTATGGCATGCATTACACTGTACCGATGACCTTTAACTTGCCTGGCTCCTCCATTAGAATAGAAGCAGTCACTAATTTAATGTTAGAATAAATGAGTAAAAACAATAATAATGAATAATTCTAGATAATTACTGAAATGAGTTGTTGGATGTTCCCAGTTAGACTAGAAAGCATTTTTGGCATTTCAACATTTTAACATTTAAATCAATTAATTTATGTTATTAAAAATAATCAAATGAACATTAAACATGATTGTTTCTAAATAAAATGTTAAGTCGATGCATATATATTATATAGCATTATAACCCCTGTGCATATTTTGATGTTTTCTGCAATTTTGATTACCATTTTTCTGCATATATATTCCATATATTTGCCACCAGAGTTAACTTCAATCAGAGTGGAGATTTTTATATGTTTGTTCTTTAATGTATCCTTAGCACACATACCTAATTCTGTCTGGCATATAGTAGGCACTCAATAAATGTTTTTTCAATGTCAAATGAATTTGTAGACTCACATATTTGTCATTCTAAATGACTGTTAAGCATAGTACAATATACCATTGTTTAAATAGTAGACATTTAAATTGCTTTCCAGTTTTTAGTTTCATGGATGTACCACTGAAAATATTTCAGTGCAAATATATTTTTTCTTTGGGAGAAGTTATTCTATTTGAGTGTTTCTTTTCAGACTAGAAATACTGGATACAAATACAAAAACACTATTATTGTTGCTAACTTGCTTTCTGGAAAGATTGAATTAGTTTACACTGATACTGGCAGTGTCTAAGTGGGCTTTTCATATTCCTGCTAATAGTGCTGTATATATTTAAATTATGAGTTGTATACTCTAACTTAAATTCATTTTATTTCACATTTCTTTAACTGCTAGTGAGGTTGTGTATCTTTGCATACTGTATTTTTTAATCTCTATTTTTTCTACCTGTAAATTGTCTCTTTAGCACCTTTGGCTGCATATTAAGTAAAATCTAGGTATTAGTTTTATATGTACAGTCCTCTATGTATATGGAAAGGTAAACTGTTATAGTAATCTTCTACGTTATCTCCTCACTCTCTGACTTTCCCGCTGCAATCAATTAATACAATACAACCGCAATCAATACAACTTCATAGCTAATCTTTGAAAAATAAAGTTCCAATGCCCAAATTCTTTAGCTAAAAACCTTCACTCGTCCACCAAGTAAGTATAAACCCCTCAGCTGGATTTTCAAGGCCCTCTTTAACATACTCCAAAAGGGACTTTTCAGCTTTTTGTCTTTCTTCATGGCCAAATTAAAATGTCTAGTGTTCCCAGAGAGTTCTGAATGCTTTGTGTCACTAGCTCTTTGCTCATCCTGTCTACCGTAGCTGAGACTTTTTACAGGGAAAGCATAATGAAATCTGTGCCCAAAGTCCCAGAGCCATTAAAAGACCAGGACAACTTCTGTAATCATGTCTAGAAAAATGGACTCAGAGTTCCAATTTGCAAGGCCGTGAACTCATTTCCAGTGATAAGCAAGAAGCAACTTTGCCTCCAATATAAAGGACTTCAACAGTGTAGAGTAATTATATTTCAGTGCTATGTTTTTTATCGTCTAATTTGCTTATATGATAAAACTAGGAAGACCGGGCTTTGGTTACACAATTCCCTCTGACCTCTTAGTTTTCTACTTTCTGATGTTTTTATCTTTAAACAGCATTTCTGTACTCAATTTGGCATTTCTTGCTTCCACGTAAGTCATGTCATCCATGAAATTAATAATTCAAAAACCCTTGGTTGCTTGGTGATCTGAGATTTACCCATCCTATTTCTTCTTCCTCTTGTGCTTAAAAACTCAGGGCCACCACCTCTCACTGCATCTCCAGCACTGGGAAACCTTAGGGTTGTTTTTAAATCCCTTCTTCATCCCTACATCTAATCAATCATTTCTCTCTCCTGGATGTTTCCTGAAGCTGCATTATCCTAACTATTACCAGCACAGCAGTCAAGGCTGTAGCCTGATGGCTGCTCACCTGGACTATAACCACAGACATCCACCAGAAGCCTCCTCCTTTCTTCTTGCTTGCGCTATCTAAACCTTCTCTCCCCACAGCCGCCAGAGAATTCTTCCTAAAAGGATAAGCTGATATGTCACTCCCAAGCCTAACTTTTATTGCTCTCATTGCCTATAGGCTGAGAGTAAGCTCTCCATAGGGCATCTAAGGGTTTCCTTGATAACTTCATCCCCACTTACCTCTCCAGCTTTATCTTTTTTAACTTCCCGCCTCAAAATCTTATACCTGAGCAACAAGAAGTGCTTGAAATTTTCTGAGGACAATACACTGTTTCTCACTTCCCTCCCTTTGTTCCCACTGTTCCCTTTGCTTGCAATGCGACTTTCTGAATTTTCCCATAATACATCCTCAAGCACCCTGTAAAAGGCAGCCAGGCACCACCCACCCTAGAAAGTCTTGCTTGACTAACACAGGCTGGGTTCGATGTTCTTTTCTGGTGCTTCTTTAGTAGTCTGTTCCTCTCTTTATCGTGTGCGTTCCTTATGTGTAACAACTGTTTTATTCCTCTTTGTACTCCTCAGTGCTCAGCAGAGAATAAGTACTCAGTAAATATTTGATGAACAAACGAGTTGTGCAGAATCTGAAAACCTGCAGTATTTTATTTTAATTGAGCACAGTTTTTCAGACTCTATAGTTTTTATATAAATTATATTAGTTTTAAATAACATTTTCTGTAATATGCTTATTTTTATAGAATTAATTTTCTTTTCAAAGAGTTTTTAGTTAAAGAGGATGGTTAGAAGCAGCCACTAAGAGGGTTAAATGACATATATTTATTACTTAAATCCTTGATTGTCCGTGTGGATTCTCCACTTTATGGGTGTGGAGATAGTTTTAAATTTAATTACGTTTAATTTTTATTTTCTGATAGAGCCTAGTATAGCTGAAAGAATTAGAGTTGATCTTCAAATATGGCTTTGATGCCGATAACTTGGGAAACTATTGAACAGAGATAGTTGCCTGCATTAAAAATAAACGGCTGGGATAAACCTTCCATACACTGAGATGACCTGGAAGAGTCTCAGAACACGTTCTCATTGGAGAACTTAGTCCTGCCACATCAGTAGTGGGTTGAAGCATTTTCCCTATAAAATCTATGTAACAGACTTGTTTTACTTTACTTTTAGAGATAGCCAGTATGTGGCAACATCAATAATTCTTTTCTAAATCATTTTTATGTCATGTGCTTCTATTTTTAAAACTAAATTTTTTAAAACTGAATTAGTTATACATGCTGGCAAAAACCAAATGTAAAGCATTTTATAATGTTATAACATGTAAATAATCTACAGAATTTTCTGGCATCTGCCAAGACTGAATTATTTTCAACATTAAGTATATTTTTAAGGTGTAGTGGCAAGTACATCCAGAGGAAAGGGTATAGGCATTTTCTTGCAAATCTAGATATGGGTAACTATTGAAATTGCTTGTCATATGTTTGATTTTCATTTTCCTTAGAATGTGTTACTTTGCTGAAACCGTATTCAAAGGCTGGGTCAATTGATCTCCTGCAAGATACACTTGAAGGTTAAGTAACTACAGATCTCAGCTAATCCCGTGTAATCTGCTGTTACTAAATGGCTGTTTGTATTCCAGGCACACCAGTTTCTGAATGCTTAGGATTCCGTTTTTACCTTTTGTTTAAATAACCTCTAAAAGGAGCAATGCATCTCTTTGCATGTCTGTGCATTGTCCTTAACGTTTTGGAAGGAGTGGGCTGTTCATGTCCTTCACAATGCACCTGTGATTATCACGGCAGAAATGACGGCTCAGGATCAAGGTATGCTCCTCTGCTTTCTACTAAGTGTTCTCTTTATTTTGACAAAAAGGACCCAAACAAGAAAGCCTACTTTTGAAAACAAATGTTTGAGGATCAGAAATCACAGAAGAGAATGTTTAGTGTCCGTAAGCTCTAACGTAATTGTGTTAATACTGGTCACCTACTCCTTCATTGTTTTCATTTCGAGCAGTTTAACTCTTAAAGGTCTCTCAAGTTACTGGAAATTTCTAAACACATTCTGTGTTCCAAAATTTTTGTCATGCTTATGTTCGCAAAATGTTGCTTGAGATCAAACCGTTTAAAGGTGCGTGGCCAGCTCAGCTCTTGATTATTGAAAGGCTAAGAGGGCAGGCTGAACAGGAGCTGCGGGACATGCTCAGATCCTTTGCTTTCATGGCTCTCCACTTCCTTTGAGGATTATTCGTGTCAACTGAGTGGCAGAAAGAAAGATCTCAAGAGTGAAGTTAGAGAGGTTGATAGTTAGAATTTTTCCATTTTAAGCTGATGGAATTTACAAAATAAGGAAGATTGAAAAAGATACTGTCTGTTGCAGACACTGTAGGATCTCACAGAAGTTATTCAATCTCTAGGTTGTTTTAGCAACCTGTGTAGTGAGAGTACTTATTTGCTTGTAATGTGCATGAGGCCTTTTAGATATGTTAAATGCAAAACAGAACTCTTGCTAGCTAAACACAGTAGAACTTGAATTTCTTTTTATTTTTTCGAGACAGAGTCTCGCGCTGTCGCCTGGGCTGGAGTGCAGTGGCGTGATCTCGGCTCACTGCAACCTCCACCTCCCTGGTTCAAGTGATTCTCCTGCCTCAGCCTCCCGATTAGCTGGGATAACAGGCGTCTGACACCACGCCCTGCAATTTTTTTGTATTTTTAGTAGAGACGAAGTTTCACCATGTTGGCCAGGCTGCTCTCGAACTCCTGACCTCAGGTAATTCGCCTGCCTCAGCCTCCCAAAGTGTTGGGATTACAGGCATGAGCCACCGTGCCTGGCCTAGAACTTGAATTTTTTTTTTGAGAGGTTATTTAATAATAAAATCAGATTATTCGTGACTTGGTTGAAGTAAACAGTGTCTCAGACAAAATAATTTGTTAAAAGAATTGCCCAATTTATGTCTTATAACTTTAAACAAATAAATAATAACTAAGACATATTTGTGAAAAGCTTATCTTGTTATTGTATAAACTTTAAGCAATTCTTGGTATTTTTTGACATATTCACTGGGTGGTTAAAGACGATGAGGGAATGTAGCAAGTTAAAGGCCTACTTGTCCATAGACGTGCAGCAGTGAAGGATCAGGCCAGGGTACTTTTGAGAAACTATCACAGAAATGTTTCCTTCTTTGTGGTGACCCCATTATTGATGGATTTTATAAAAATTATAGAATATTAGGCCTGGCAAGAAATAATCTAGTTCAACCCCTTGTCAGTTTATAAGTGAAGAAACTAAACTGTATGGAGACCAAATGACTTGTCCTAGATCATGTAATTGTGTTAGTAACTAAGTTCATAAAGATGCTAAATCTTTCAGTGTACAAACTGGGCTTTCTTCTATGATAGCATGCTGAAATACTTATTTTACTTATTTATTTTTTTGAGACAGAGTCTTGCTTTGTCGGCCAGGCTGGAGTGCAGTGGCACAATCTCGGCTCACTGCAACCTCTGTCTCCTGGACTCAAGCAATTCTCCTGCCTCAGCCTCCCATGGGGCTGGGATTACAGGCATGTGCCACCATGCCCAGCTAGTTTTTGCATTTTTAGTAGAGACGGGATTTCACCATGTTGGCCAGGCTGGTCTCAAACTCCTGACCTCAGGTAATCTGCCCACCTCGGCCTCCCAAAGTGCTGGGATTACAGCCGTGAGCCACCGCGCCCGGCCAATACTTTCTTAATGAGTAGAAACTGTTACCATTCTGGTATAAAGTAGCCCTGAAATCTGTGATACAAAATAGAGATGAAAAGTAAGAGCTATCCCTACAGGATTTCAAAGATTCCATGAGTTCTTCTCCTGAAGTTATAGAAATGAGACAACACTACCACTACCACACAACCACTACATTGCAGCTTTATGCTGCTTGTGTCTGTTTACATTATGAGCTGGTTTTTCAAATCCACTTATTTAATGTGATGTGTTTCACTAAAGGATTATTTTATTGTAATTATTTACTGAATTTATAATGTGCTATAATTTAGATGATACTTTGCAAAACTTCTTATTATTTTTTGTAATTGAGATGAGTATCTCATAGGAGATAAAAAAGTCATTTTCCAGGCTAAAATGAATCTAAATTCTCAGATTCCTCATAGTTTAAATTTACACATGGGACAGTGTTGTTTTTCTTTCTTTTCTTTTTTTTTTTTTTTCTATTTTGAGATGGAGTCTCGGACTGTCACCCAGGCTGGAGTGTGCAGTGGCATGATCTTGGCCCACTGCAACCTCTGCTTCCGAGGTTCAAGTGATTCTCCTACCTCAGCCTCCTGAGTAGCTGGGATTACAGGCACCTACCACCACGCCTGGCTAATTTTGTATTTTTAGTGGAGTCGGGGTTTTGCCATGTTGGCCAGGCTGATCTCGAACTTCTGACCTCAGGTGATCCGCCCACTTTGACCTCCCAAAGTGCTGGGATTACAGCCATGAGCCACATTGCCCAGTGTTGTTTTTCTAAGCCTGTTTTATACGTGCCAACAAACAAGATCAAAATGTGACTTGCTGAAGGTCAGCTCCTAGTTTCTGGTTTATTCCTTAGGCAGAAAGCAATGTGCAAGTCACGTTGTTAAAACAGAGCTCAACTTTAAACATGTACTGTGAACACTTTTTTTCACCTAAATAAGTTATTCTCTTAAAAAGGATTGATTTATTATTTTAACAGGGGTTCTTTTAAAATGGGTCATTTCCTAAAGAGGTCCACTTTAAGTTGGAAAGAAGTGGTTTTGAAAGGTGGCTGTGAAACCCACTAGCTGGGTGGCTTTGGGAAGTTACTGAATGTTGTTGGGCCTCAGTTACTTTCCATGTAAAACCGAGGTTGTTGACAGTAGCAGCAAATACCTACTGAGTACATATTATGTGGTAGGAAGTTGTAGAGTTTTACATCCATTGTAATTAATCATCCATAACAGTGCCGTATGGGAAAATTAGGTTGAGACACTGGTGAAGTGGTTTTCCATGGCCACAGAGGAGGTGGCAGACCTTAGACCTTGGTTAGATTTGAACCAAGGCCCACCTTGGCCTCCCAAAGTGCTAGGATTACAGGCGTGAGCCACTGCCCGGCTGAAAATTGATACGTTTTTCAAATGAGAAGTATTTTTTTCAAATGGGTGTTGGAAAGTGAGTTTCCTCACATTGCTCATGTTGTGACACTAGGTTGGTGCTATGTAATGACATGGATATGAACGAGCTCCCTACGAACCTCCCCGTGGACACTGTGAAGCTTCGCATAGAGAAGACTGTCATCCGCAGAATCTCGGCGGAGGCCTTCTATTACCTGGTGGAGCTCCAGTATCTCTGGGTGACTTACAATTCCGTGGCCAGCATTGACCCCAGCAGCTTTTACAACCTGAAGCAACTGCATGAGTTGCGCTTGGATGGGAATTCCCTGGCTGCTTTCCCTTGGGCATCTCTGCTGGACATGCCCGTTCTGAGGACCCTGGACTTGCACAATAACAAAATAACCAGTGTGCCAAATGAGGCACTCAGGTATCTGAAGAACCTTGCCTACTTGGATTTATCAAGCAACAGACTCACCACGTTGCCACCAGATTTCCTGGAGAGCTGGTCTCATTTAGTTACAACACCTTCTGGAGGCCTGGACCTTTCCCCAAGCAGGATTATTCTTGGTAAGCTCGCAAGCCTCTGGGCTTTTCATCTATAGATACTTTGCTATGCATAGCTTTTGTTGTCCAGTCTTTTAAAATTTACTGGATTTGGCTTTTTACTCTGTAATTGCACTTTTAGTGGAATAGTACCTTATTAGTTAACGTAGGTCAAGTTACCTCTTTCCCCTGTGTAAGGTGAAAGGGCTGTGTGTGCGTGCACGCATGTGTGTACATACATGTGTGAAAAAGTGGAAGAGAACTTGAGTCATAAATGGAGAGAGGACTTCTTCTCTTAAAGAGCCTCCAACTGAGAGACAGAATCCACCAACCTGCATAGACTCTTGTGAGCACAGCATTGCTCCATACTCTGGTACCAGTTTCTGCTCAGTTGGCTTTTCAACTCTTCATTAGGTTCTTCAGGAGCAGGAGAGGGGCACTGGCATCTTTATGTGATAGCAGTGGCTTCATTAGTTAGGAAGAATAGCTTCTAAATTTCCTTAATCTAAAAGGAAATGGGGGAAACATCAGTTATTTTACTGGCCCCAAATGGTTCACCTAACTGATTTGGTCTCTTAGTTTAGCTGTGACTAGTTTTGGAATTTTGAACTTGGCCTTGTTTAGGTTCTATGTGTATTTCTCTGGGGTTCTTTTTATTATTATTTTTATATTTTATGTGCAGAATGTGCAGGTTTGTTACATAGGTATAAATGTGCCATGGTGGCTTGCTACACCCATCAACCCATCATCTACATAAGGTATTTCTCCTAATGCTATCCTTCCCCTAGACCCCTACCCCCCAACAGGCCCCAGTGTATGATGTTCCCCTCCCTGTGTCCATGTATTCTCATTGTTCAACTCCCACTTATGGGTAAGAACATGCAGTGTTTGGTTTTCTGTTTCTGTGTTAGTTTGCTGAGAATGATGGTTTCCATCTTCATCCATATCCCTGTAAAGGACATGAACTCATCCTTTTTTATGACTGGATAGTATTCCATGGTATATATGTGGCACATTTTCTTTATCCAGTCTATCACTGATGGGCATTTGGGTTAGTTCCAAGTCTTTGCTATTGTGAATAGTGCTGCAATAAACATACATGTGCATGTGTCTTTATAGTAGAATGATTTATAATCCTTTGGGTATATACCCAGTAATGGGATTGGTGGGTCAAATGGTATTTCTGGTTCTAGGTCCTTGAGGAATCGCCAGACTGTCTTCCACAATGATTGAACTAATTTACACTCCCACCAACAGTGTAAAAGCGTTCCTATTTCTCCACATCCTCTCCAGCATCTGTTGTTTCCTGACTTTTTAATGATTGCCATTCTAACTGGTGTGAGATGGTATCTCATTGTGGTGTTGATTTGCATTTCTCTAATAACCAGTGATGATGAGCTTTTTTCATATGTTTGTTGGTTGTATAAATGTCTTCTTTTGAGAAGTGTCTGTTTATATCCTCTGCCCACTTTTTGATGGAGTTGTTTTTTTTTTCTTGTAACTTTGTTTAAGTTCCTTGTAGATTCTGGATATTAGCTCTTTGTCAGGTGAATAGATTGCAAACATTTTCTCCCATTCTGTTGATCACTTTGATGATCACTTTGATAGCTTGTGATCACTTTGATAGCTTGTTGATCACTTTGATGATAGTTTCTTTCGCTGTGCAGAAGCTCTTTAGTTTAATTAGATCCCATTTGTCAATTTTGGGTTTTGTTGCTATTGCTTTTTGGTGTTTCAGTCACGAAGTCTTTACCCATGCCTATGTCCTGAATGGTATTGCATAGGTTTTCTTCTAGGTTTTTTATGGTTTTAGGTCTTACATTTAAGTCTTTAATCCATGTTCAGTTAATTTTTGTAGAAGGTATAAGGAAGGGATCCAGTTTCAGTTTTCTGCATATGGCTAGCCAGTTTTCTCAACCACATTTATTAAATAGAAAATCCTTTCCCCATTGCTTGTTTTTGTCAGGCTTGTCAAAGATCAGATGGCTGTAGATGTGTGGTGTTATTTCTGAGGCCTCTGTTCTGTTCCGTTGATCTATATCTCTGTTTTGGTACCAGTACCACACTGTTTTGGTTACTGTAGCCTTGTAGTATATTTTGAAGTCAGGTAGCATGATGCCTCCAGTTTTGTTCTTTTTGCTTAGGACTGTCTTGGCTATATGGGCTCTTTTTTGGTCTCAAATGAAATTTAAAGTAGTAGTATTTTCTAATTCTTTGAAGAATGTCAGTGGTAGCTTGATGGGGATAGCACTGAATCTATAAATTACTTTGAGCAGTATGGCCATTTTCATGATATTGATTCTTCCTATCCATGAGCATGGAATGTTTTTCCATTTGTTTGTGTCTTCTTTTATTTCCTTGAGCGGTGGTTTGTAGTTCTCCTTGAAGAGGTCCTTCACATCCCTTGTTAATTGTATTCCTAGGTATTTTATTCTCTTTTTAGCAATTGTGAATGGGAATTCACTCATGATTTGGCTCTCTGTTTGTCTATTATTGGTGTATAGAAATGCTTGTGATTTTTGCACATTGATTTTGTATCCTGAGAGTTTGCTGAAGTTGCTTATCAGCTTTGGCTAAGATGATGGGGTTTTCTAAATATACAATCATGTCATCTGCAGAGACAATTTGACTTCCTCTCTTTCTATTTGAGTACCCTTTATTTCTTTTTCTTGCCTGATTACCCTGGCCAGAACTTCCAATACTGTGTTGAATAGGAGTGGTGAGAGAGGGCATCCTTGTCTTGTGCCGGTTTTCAGAGGGACTGCTTCCAGCTTTTGACCGTTTAGTATGATATTGACTGTGGGTTTGTCATAAAAACTCCTATTATTTTGAGATACATTCCATCAATACCTAGTTTATTGAGCATTTTTAGCATGAAAGGGTGTTGAATTTTATTGAAGGCCTTTTCTGCAACTATTGAGATAATCATGTGGTTTTTGTTATTGGTTCTGGTTAAGTGATGGATTACGTTTATTGATTTGCATATGTTGAACCAGCCTTGCATTCCAGGGATGAAGCTGACTTGATCGTGGTGGATAAGCTTTTGGATGTGCTGCTGGATTTGATTTGCCAGTATTTTACTGAGGATTTTCGTGTCAATGTTCATCAGGGATATTGGCCTGAAATTTTCTTTTTTTGTTGTGTCTCTGCCAGGTTTTGGTATCAGGATGATGCTGGCCTCATAAAATGAGTTCCTCTTTTTCTATTGTTTCAAACAGTTTCGGAAGGAATAGCACCAGCTCCTCTTTGTACCTCTGGTAGAATTTATCTGTGAATCTATCTGGTCCTGGGCTGTTTTTGGTTGGTAGGCTATTTAATTACTGCCTCAATTTCAGAACTGGTTATTTGTCTATTCAGGGATTCAACTTCATACTGGTTTAGTATTGGGAGGGTGTATGTGTCCAGGAATTTATCAATTTCTTCTACATTTTCTAGTTTATTTGTGTAGAGGTGTTTATAGTATTCTTTGATGGTAGTTTGTATTTCTTTGAGATCAGTGGTTATATCTTCTATCATTTTTTATTAAGTTTATTTGAGTCTTCTCTCTTCTTTATTAGTCTTGCTAGCGGTCTATTTTGTTAATCTTTTTTTTTTTTTTAAACAGCTCCTGGATTCACTGATTTTTTTGAAGGGTTTTTTGGGTCTCTATCTCCTTCAGTTCTGCTCTGATCTCGGTTATTTCTTGTCTTCTGCTAGTTTTTGAATTTGTTTGCTCTTGCTTCACTAGTTCTTTTAATTGTGATGTTAGGGTGTCGATTTCAGATCTTTCTCACTTTCTCCTGTGGGAATTTCGTGCTTTAAATTTCCCTCTAAAGACTGCTTTGGCTGTGTCCCAGAGATTCTGGTACATCGTGTCTTTGTTCTCATTGGTTTCAAAGAACTTATTTATTTCTGACTTAATTTCATTATTTACCCAGTAGTCATTCAGGAGAAGGTTGTTCAGTTTCCATGTAGTTGTGCAGTTTTGAGTGAGTTTCGTAATCCTTAGTTCTTTTTTTTTTTTTTTGAGATAGAGTCTCGCACTGTCACCTGGGCTGGAGTGCAATGGCACTATCTCAGCTCACTGCAACTTTCACCTCCCAGGTTCAAGCAGTTCTCCTGCCTCAGCCTCCCATGTAGCTGGGATTACAGGTGCCCACCACCACATCCAGCACATTTTTTGTATTTTTAGTAGAGATGGGTTTTCACTAGGTTGGCCTGGCTGGTCTTGAACTCCTGATCTTGTGATCCTCCTACCTCAGGCTCCCAAAGTGCTGGGATTACAGATGGGAGCCACCGTGCCCGGCCAATCCCGAGTTCTAATTTGATTGTACTGTGGTCTGAGAGACTGTTCATTACGATTTCTGTTCTTTTGCATTTGCTGAGGAGTGTTTTTACTTCCAATTATGTTGTCAATTTTAGAATAAGTGCAATGTGGTGCTGAGAAGAATGTGTATTCTGTTGATTTGGGGTGGAGAGTTCTGTAGATGTCTATTAGGTCTGCTTGGTCCAGAGCCGAGTTCAAGTTCTGAATATCCTTGTTAATTTTCTGTCTTGTTGATGTTTCTAATATTGACAGTGGAATGTTAAAGTCTCCCACTATTATTGTGTGGGAGTCTAAGTCTCTTTGTAGATCTCTAAGAGCTTGCTTTATGAATCTGGGTGCTCCTGTATTGGGTGTATGTATAATTAGGATACTTAGCTCTTCTTGTTGCATTGATCCCTTTATCATTATGTAATGGGCTTCTTTTCTTTGTCTCTTTTGATCTTTGTTGGTTTCAAGTCTGTTTTATCAGAGACTAGGATTGCATCCCCTGCTGCTGCTGCTGCTTTTTTTTTTTTTTTTTTTTTTTTTGCTTTCCATTTGCTTGGTAAATATTCCTCCATCCCTTTATTTTGAGCCTATGTGTGTCTTTGCACATGAGATGGGTATCCTGAATACAGCACACAAATAGGTCTTGATTCTTTATCCAATTTGCCAGTCTGTGTCTTTTAATTGGGGGCATTTAGCCCATTTACGTTTAAGGTTAATATTGTTATGTGTG